AGTAGTGGAAATACCATAGGATTAATTAGCTGCCAGTTTGACTTCGTAACCTGCCAAAAAATCCGGATCTCAAAAAAAACGCTATTTTTTGGAAAAAATTAGCATCTCTTCCGCTTCCCTGGCTGTCAGTTCGAACCCCGGCCGGCATTCAATTTCCACCGTAACATCACAATCCAAAGCCTCGGCTGTCCCATTCCCAAAAGCGTGCCCATTTCCCCCTTTCTTGGTACCCGTTTGCATGCTAATATATGCAAATGTCTTCCCCTGTCTCTATCTCTCTCTCTCCCTGTCTCTATCTCTCTCTCTCTCTATCTCTCTCTCTCTCTCTCTCTCTCTCTCTCTCTCTCTCGTTCTGTTTGTCGGTGTGTACCCTTTGATGCCCAAAATGCCCTAAGGGCTCAAAACAGATTGCCCTCTCTCTCTCTACTGGCTGCCAATCATAAACCGGTACCCCCTCGAGAAACGACAGCTGGTTCAAGACAATTTTCCGCTTCCCCGGGGGGTAAACGGAAATTTCGCGGAATTGACGCGACAGGGAGACAAGACGATAAATGGGTCGTTCTCAACCGGTTACAAGCCATATGGTCGAGACATCAAAAATGAATTTCTTGCCAAATATAAATTTTTTTCTTCGGGGTTTTCGTTATTTTGTCGGTCTAACTGGCAGGCAGATGGTCGATCTGTTTGTATGTCTGTTTGGTACGACAATTTTCTCCTATCCATTAGCCAGTTTACTCAAGAAAATTGGAAATTTTTAGGGAATTACGACGTGTCTGTGTTTTGGGAGGTTTGCATTTTCACAAGTTTTTTTTTGCTATTTGGTCGCATACATCTATCAGTTTGCCTAGCTGTCTGTCTGTCCGTCGGCTTCCACCATTTTCACACCTTTTTCACGCCAGTTTACATTTTTTTTCTGAAAAAATTGGAGATTTTTAGGGTCTTCGGTTTGTTTGTCGATTTGCATATTTGTGTGTCTGTCCGAAAATTCACTTTTATGCGTTATTAGTGTTATCTGTCACCCAGTCCACTTCTTCCACACCCTCTCCTGCCCTCTGTGTGGATGCTTCTCACATTTACACCCCCGAATGCAAATGCCCATAGACCATCCAGTAGGGCCCACTAGAGGGCCCACTAGAGGCCAATATGCAACCTGATGCCCTGCTTCCGCTTCTCGGGGCCCTAATGTGCCTGTGTGTGGGGGGTATTATTTGACACTTTGACACATGAACATAACATTGGAAACATAGTTAAGAGTCGGAATGTGGCTAGTAAGGGCCCGCAAGTGATTTTGACCCTGAAAACGACAAAATTACTGCCAGTTTGACAGTCAAACTGCTTAAAATGTTAAATAAATTTTTAACAGACGGCAGGCCTGTCAGTTTAAATCTTAGGCCCAAAAAATTACAAAAATGGCGTCCATCAAAGTTTTTCTTTGGAATTTTACGGGTTTTTTTGCCACTTTCAAGGGTTTTGCGTCGTACTTTTTTTCCAGATTTTGAGTGAGATCCTGGAGCTTGAAGTTTAGCATAGTTGTGCCCCTAAACTGCTTAGTAATACACCCTTTCCGCCCCTCAGAAAATCCCCCCTGATGCAAGGCCAGGAATCCGGGGGAGTCACAGGGTAACGAGCCGTGAGATTCCGACCGACACCCCGGGACGGAGCCGGGGGTATTGGACTTTCGCGGAAATGCTATACGGGGGAACGAATAAACTAAAAATTCTACAAGCAATGGGCAGAAAATTGGGGAATTTTTCAGCTACAGTACTGTTGACTGTCAGTTTGCCAAAGTTCGCCCTTCTAAAAGGTGTCCCAGCTACCGTAACCCTGAAATCCGTTCATTTGGGGAATTTAGGGCATCTGTCAGGCAGGCTACAGAATGCTCCAACTGACAGCCTGCAGTTCGAATAAATCGTGGCTAAATCCCGTTGACCATATGCAGGTGCCCCCCCCCCGGGCTTTAGTGGTTACGTAAAGAGGATGGACACGTCGTCTTCTGGTCCCTCTACGGGGTCTCGCTTTCCATCATAAATCATCCCCTTTCCTTCCCTTGCTTGGGTCGTTGAATGGACCCATCATCGCCGTGTCAATCCGATTCCCCCAGGCTCCATTCTTCTGGACTTGACATGGACCTCGCGAAAAACTGGATACTGGGGTAGCGCTGGGAGGGTTTTTACTAAAATTCTATGGCCAAGAAGCCAAGCAGGGAGTAAAAAGCGGCTTACTGGAGGCCAGTTGGCATAAAAATTGGAATGACAAAGCAACTACGGTACTCCAGAATTTTCTGACCGACAAAATTGTTTATCTGGTAGCCAAAAGCCTGAAATTCAGGATTAAAACGTTTATCAATTTCCAGGGTTCAAATTCAAAGCCAAAGCTTGGTTTACTGGATGCCAGTTAGCGGAAAAATACAAACTACAAAATTTTAGAGTACTTCAGAATTTTTCTAACCGTCATAATAGCTTCTCTGTCGGTCAAATATTCTGTCAAAAAGCTCAAATTCACATATCAATAACTTCTAAAATTCCTGAATTTCAATTTGCATTGCGACTTTGCCAAACTGACTAGCAGAAAAGCTAAATTGACTATCAATACACCTCACATCAGCTTGATTGGCTTATGGGTATAGTTTGTTAGTGATCTTCCAGCGCCCCCAATTTGTGTCTTCCTACCCATGGTGCAACTTCTATTCAAACAGAGACACAACTCGAATAGAATAGAATAGAGTAGAAGGACATTGCACAATCCTTTTGTCTATCCAATTAGAGAGTGAGAGAGAGTGAGAGAGAGAGGAGAGGAGAGAGGAGGGAGAGGAGAGGAGAGGAGAGAGAGATTCGTCTTCCCGTCCCGTCCTATCTGGGGTGAAGGTGTGTTAATTGGGTGCTCGTCGAGGCGATTACATGGATTATAAAGGGTAGTGGGTGTCTAAGAGAGTAGAGAGACAGAAAGCTAGACAAACTGACAGACAGAAAGAGGGATGGGCCACAGAAGGGGATAATTGCTGGTCGCCACGACATCTACGGGAGGGGGTTTAGCTTCATGCCGCCGGGGAGCCGAGGTGGACATCGGAGAAATGGTGCTAGAAATGCCACAAAAAATACGATATTCTGGGGACATAAAACTGAGATCGATATGAAAAGGACAAGCTCAGAAAATAATTCCTTTTGACAAAATTGAAAATTTGGTCAGGAAACCGGGAATCCGCGAAAAAATCGATCTAAGCCCCCAAAATTAAAATACTTACCAATTTCTAGGAGAATCGAGCATAAAATAGTGTTAAGTGGAGGTCAGATAACCTTAAAAATAAGAGCGAACTACAAGATACAACGTTAAAATTTAACAAAAATTTAAAAACCTTAAAAAAACCTAAATTTCTGCGTTTTAGGCTAAACCACCAAGTCCACGGTGAATGGATCCTTGGATATCATCTCGTCAATATCCTTCTCCATTCCCTCGTTACTAAAGAGATTTTTCGACTTTTAAAAAGGTATAAAAATCGATAAAAGAGCTTATAAAAATACTTTAGAATTTCGGAAAATAATTTTCTGATCTATGCGGTTTCTTTGTTATTCGCCGTCCATCCAATTCATACAGAAACTGTAAGTTTTAAAATCATTTTTGGAATTTCTCCTTTTGGGTCTTATCATCTTGAATCAAAATTATTTAGATTTGTAACATCACGGGGCGAGCCGAGCTTTTGATGGCCCTTTTCTTTGTTGTCGGTTTTCGAAAATACCTGGAAAATTGCGAATTTTCTCAAATTGTCGCATTTTCGATATCATCGATGCTTTCAAAAGAGCAGGGAATTGTATTGCCGGTAAGTGACCGTTTTATTTTGGTTGTTTCTGAGTTAAAAAATTGTATACATTAACATACGACAATTTCAGCTTCTCATCGCGGCCTGTGGAATCCTTAAAATCGGGCCTCAGCCTTGTAACAGAAGAATTTTCAAGTCGATTTCTCTATTTTTCGCCCTATTTTATTGGAGATTATGGATCGCCAATTTTGATAAGCCCACATTCTCAAAGCTTGATAATTCGGTGGCCTTTATTGAGGAGCCGATTTCGAGGGTAAGTTCTTCAGTTATAACGCAAAATTCAAAATTATTTTTGAAAATTCTGAAGCCCGATTCACTAAACTGGCAGCCAGTCGACATTACCGAACAAAAATTTTCCAAAAATGTTCTCGTTCGATGGTTTTCTTGATAGGATTTGCTTTATTGGCCGTCAATTGACATGCCAAAATTAAAATTAGACAAAAATTGGTCATTGTTAAATTCTTTTTGCTACGATTTTCGCTTCATTGGTAGCCAGCCTAAACGATAACCTCAACAATTTCTCAAAAAATGACATTTTAGTGGCTGTCCATTGTGAATACGTGGGTGTGCAATGTACAACTATTGACACTCCCATTGTGGCAATGTTTCGATTATTCGATGGGCTGTATTCCGGCAATAACCTCATTCTTCGATATTCGAAATGCTCGAAATATGCTCGTTTTTGGATCTGTCATTTTTGGCATAGGGAAATGTTGGAAGGCAGAGCGGCGGTAACAATTTTGTACAGTTTTTTAATAGCGTATTTTGTAGAATGACTACCGTATCCCTCCTCCTTGGCGGCGCCACATTTGCCCCCTCATCCCATCTATTCTTAACCGTCGGATTTACAGTAGCCGAGAGGGTACTGTATCTACCATCCCTGGCATACTGTATTCTTGCGGCTATTGGGATTTCGAGGGTCATCCCAAATTTCCGAAAGAATACCCTTTACGCGGTGGTGACGGTGCTATTCGCATTGTCGTGGCAGGTGAGCAATTTATCTTCTAACGCTCGAATCGAGTCGGCCACGCTCCGTTCTATGCAAAAATCGTTTCAGCGTTCAATGGACTGGCGTACAGAGTACAGTTTGTATAGTAGTGGACTCAAAGTGTGCCCTGATAACGCGAAAATCCACTACAATCTCGGGAAAATTCTAACGACCCATGGAAATCCGATAGAAGCCAGTATGAAATATGGGAAAGCGATTGAGTGCGTTTGGAGTTTGTAGTGACAAATAAAAAACCGTATTCCAGGCTGAATCCCGAATACGAACAGGCCATGAATAATTTGGCTAACATCTTCGAAGCGCAAGGGAGATATGCGGAAGCGGTCGAATTGTTACGCAGGGCTACAAAGTACGTTTTACGTTGAAGTCCACGGGATTAAAATTAAGCCTTAAAAATAGTCAAATTGCAAGTCAGATTAACGATTCCACCCAGTGATTACCGAAAATTCGCAACATTTAAATTAATTTTCAGGATTCGCCCTCATTTCGCGACAGCTTGGATGAATCTGGGGATTGCCGAGATGAAAATGGCCAATTTCAAGGTAGTTTTCCGATTTAAATTTTACTATTGCCTTTTAGAGCTCTCTAACGGCTTTTGAAACATCCCTCAGACTCCGCCCACATTCCCCCGATTGCCATTTCAACCTCGGAAATCTCCATTTGGCCGCTGGAAGGGGGGACGAGGCGATGGACAGCTGGAAAAGGGCTATCGAGTACGTTTGCATACGGAATTACATTTCATAAATGGCGTTTTTGTCATTTTTTATGGCGATACTGGGCAAGCTGGCATCCAGAAACCTAAAAATGATCAACAAACCTTGAAATCAAGCATTTATGAAAAAAAAAATTGAAATTCTAACTTTCCAGGCAGGACCCCTCTCATCCGGGTGCTTGGGTAAATATTCTTGTTCGACTGGATGAAACCGGACAATGCGAAAGAGCTATAGAAATGGCTGGCAACTTGCCAAACCCCGCCCATTCTGCTATTCATTTTCAGGTAACCAATAAGAGTCAAGTAATCATTATTTTTAGTTGGGAACTTGTTATGGCCAATTGAATCGATTTGAAGAGGGAGAATATCATATAAGAAAAGCCATCCATGTCGACCTCCATAATAAAATGTATCATTCCAATTTGCGTACGTTTTTCTGAGAAATTGGCTATTTGCAATTTGATTAATTTTGCTATTTTTAATTTGTAAAAAAAACAATTTTGTTTGAAAATACGGTTTTTACAGAAGTGCTTTACGAGCGGCGTCGTCTTTTTTCCAGCAAAAATTCCACCCAACGGAATACGCGACGCTACAACACACCCCTCCGAAAATTGGGCACAAATATTACCGGTCGATTATGACTGTTTTCTATCTTATTGGTATTTTGTTGATTTGATGAGTTTGGTTGGATACGGGTATAAAGATTTATCTGTTTTCAGTCAAAAACAGTTTTAAAAATTTGGAGATTTAACAAGCAATGAAATTCAAAAATATTTTCCGGGAAATGTGGAGAATTGCAGGAAAGTGGTTTCGATTTCACAAACAACAATGCCATTAGCACATTTCATGGAATTCACTACAATAAGACATATCTGGTAGAGGACCCTTGAGACAATCGAAACAATTGATATCATCGAATGAGGGTCGATAGTTTGCCTGTAAAATGAGTATTTGTTCGTAATGGCAAATATCATCATCTTTTCAATTCACCAACCGTCCATACCAGCGCCTTTCCCCCCTCTTCGTCCGGTTCCATTGTCCGTTTATATGTCGATTCATTCATCTTCTCCGATGTCACTTTCATCGTCTCGTCTTTTCCGATGATGTCCAACTAAAATTTCGGTTTTTCTGACAGCCTCTGAATACTTTTAATATTTGATTGGCAATTACTCGGCATCTTCCAACATGACCCAACATTTATTTGGACTGACTGACCTCCATTTGCTCGTATTTCTCGAAATTGGAGGGATAACCCATGGAAATATTGAAGGATCTGTGCAATTCCCTAGTATAGTGGAAGACAGATGATGTCCTACCGAGTCGATTTATACGAAAAGCGTAGAACTGAGTCGGGCTGAAATTGAGGCTAAATAATATCCCTGACAATAGTCATTACCTTGTTGCACGGGAAGATCCGGAGATATCGGCTAGTACTAAATTAGAATATCTATAAAAAGTATACAAATGCTATTGTTTATCGCGGACTAATAGATGCCGATCTACCGGCCAACTCGAAATCCCCAACTTGTAAACTTCGAGATCTCTGTCAAAATTCCATGCACTCCATGTCGATACTTAGAATCAGGGACCAGAGATGAGAGGCCAATGCAAAATTATGTCTTCCAAATTTCCCGAACAGGCTAATAAAAAGAAGCTACGCGTCTATTGTGAAAATACACGTCAAGTATTTGCTGGTATATTTCCGATGATATCTCTTGATGCTTACCTCCAGTACCCTTTGTATGTAATCAGCACAACTCGAACATTATATTTCTCCTCAAAAGCCCTCTGTTTCTCACCGATAAATGGGAAATGCTGAATAGGGAAATGTAATATAATTTGATGAATTCAGACTACCCAGGGGCCACGGTGGATGTCAGATCCCTGACCCCTTAATGTTCCTCCATTCAAAAGTTTCTAAAACGAATTTTTATGTGGTTGTATCTGCTGTTTATTTACCTGTATACTTCGAATGACAAATGATGAGCAGTTGGTCCCATACTCCCACCGATAATCACCTATTGGTCATATTACAGAAAGTATCATAAAGATTCGCTTCAAAAATTACTCAAGGCAGTCCAAATGACGATTAACATGCTACATTAACATTACCAAGATATCAAGGCTGTTCTTGAAAACATGCCCAAAAAAACCGCAGGAAAGTTCTTCACAACCTAAGAGAAAAAGAAGACACTTACCCGCAAACGTTTGTTCTTTCCATACACCGGCACATTCATAAACAGCCATCTATAGAACGGTTTATATAACAAGGGGGGATATGTTTTACCTCTGATGGATATTCTTGACTCTTTTCAAGTGAGAGCCAGCAGCGGGTTTTCGATAATACTGCCTAAATTCTTTTAAGAATGCTATGTTTAAAAAATAACGTGAAAATAGAAATTAAGAAAGGACGATGAATTCCCTCGAAAAGGGAAAATCTTACGCGGAATATTGGCGAATGAAGGATATTCATCATCCGGCTGATATCACAAGATTTGGCTGCAGAAAAGGAGATATTCAGAGGTTGACGAACTTTCCGAATGTTCCCTAATATTCTTTCGTTACATTATACGAAGAAATCATACCTAATCCCTCAATGAAAGAACAATACACTTTCTGAAGGCCCGTTTTTCCCTTGACGTTATGACTCTGGGTCTTCCTCTCTCCTAGTTCCATTCTATACCTTGTGTTCCTCTAAGCTAAATCGTTACGTACCCAATTTGAAGCATAAATTCATTTTCCGAGGTCAATTCAGCCGGCTGAAATCAATAAGCTACACATTTCAAAACCCTTCTCACAATCATGTTCCTTTCGATCGCCTTCTTCACCCATTTCTCTCTTTCATCCACTGTCACATCTATCCCATTTCTCATTTTGTCGATCATTTCCGTGAGCTTTTCAGAAGCTAGTAGCTAAATGGTACAATTTCTAAATAGCCCGCCAATTGGCAAAAGCGGAAAGCTTGGCAATAAATAATTGAGAACCGATTTTGAAGCACCTCATAACAATCAGGCTCGATCTTCGTGTCGATGCTGCTCATTTCGGGTTCTAGAATGCAATGAAAAGACGATTGGAAGTGGAGAACCTGCTTGCACAGCAATTTCTGATGAGATACCTACTTCTCCGTTGTCAATTATTTGCTAAAAACCTCCAAATTTAATTGAGAGTATCAGCAGACCTGAAATCCCGTATTCACTCGATCGATTTGCCGTTGAACATCACGAAGATAATTGAGATAATTGAAACAAAAGGAGTGATGTTGATTGACAGCCATCACATATTCTGCACAATTATTCGTTTCTCTTATTGATGACAGCAAATTATCAATTTTCTGAAATGGCCCGTAATAGAGGATAATAAAACGCCTTCGTCAGAAAAATTTCAGAAAATCCGCCCGTTCTGCAAATATGTTAGTAAAGGTTAGAAAGACTGCAAAATTTTGGAATCCAAGAGCCGTGCTCGACCCGCCTTTCCAAAAGCTTTCCATAGATACTTATAACGTAAAAATCGGACTCGTCTGCGGCCGGCTAGGGAGATTTGGGACACCCTCTAGATTGCATGCCATAACAATAATACAAACCACAGACGCAGCGTCGATTTTTGGCATAAAAGCGTCAGTAAGAAGTGTAGAAAGTGGTGTAATGATTGTATCGACATAACGTTGGATTGCATATGAATGGACGAGAATCTATTATAAAAGTTAGATGTTGGACTGTTTACAAGCTCTCCCACAAACCTCTGCGTCCTCCAATGCAATCCATGTATTCTCCGGTTCATTGTTGAAATAGTGATATTTCTGATAGCATTTAATGCAGTTGATCAGACGAGGTACCTAACAATTTCCATCAGTCTTTCTATTTGCCTAAAACCCACATTTTCACGAAACGCTTCCAATTCCACTTCACCCAAAGTCCTGCCAGTGTCATTTTCGAATTCTCGCCTTTTCATCAGCATGTCATCCACCGGATTGTCATTGTTATGACATCGTGTACAACGGTATTTCTCGTTACACCACGATGTCTAAAAAAAACAGAAAAATAAGTCGGGAGCCCTGTCCCCTCTATCCATTGTCCGTCTGCTGTATGCTGCTGCGATGCGCCCTCTCCCAAGGCACTTTTTTTCCTTTTCAATTTGTTGACTATTTCGAGCTCTAGTTTCCTTTCCCTCCTTTCCGCCGTGATGCTCGGCTAATAGAAAGTTTTGTAATCGTTGGTATCGCTGTGCTCAACACTTTTTGCAAGACACAACATTAAGGATAATGAAACATACCCAATCTTCGACGGAATACATTGCTGGGGTAGTCTTCAGAGGAAAAGTGTTGAGAAGACTAGTAAAGTGAGAATGGCTTCCAGAAGAAAAAGACTTTTGCCCGCTTATCAGAATTTGGACCCGCCCATTTCCTTGCAGCAAAAATTTGTGCCACCTCGCCAGGGAATAATCGATATCTTGGATGCAGCTTGTACAAAATATGGATGGAACGGCACAACAATGAGTGAGAATGGATGATTGTCGTTCGTTTCTTGTTGTTTGTGAAACAAACAACTCAAAAATCAAGTTTTGTATCATATAACGAGCGGTCAACCACTTTTCTGAAATAACATGTTCCGAAAATTGTATAATCTCTGGCATTGATTGTCATCTATGTTTCTATGCGATTCATAAAGGGGTTCGATGGATTATCTGTACAGCGACGGGCATTTCCAGCCATCAATTCCAAAGTTTGGCTAGACGATAACCCTAATTTTTCGAGCCGGTCAGTTCAATACAGAATTTCGCCTTTTTCTCTTTTTCAATCACTGCCAGAAAAAAAGAAAGGGAAATGTGAATTAGAATTATTAGATTGGGCCGAAAGTTCATACAATTCAGCTTCGGGAATTGCCTTCTAAACATTTTGTGGGTCCATGCGGTCGTTTCTTGTTTCCATACAGGGTGTCCCAAAAAAAACGACCCATCTGGCATTTCGCTGTGTTACATCCAATCGGCCCCAAATTTGGACCAGCGGTGTATCAGACCCTAAATAACACCAATCCTGACTTATAGCCCTGTAGCTATAGTAGTTCTCGAGTTATAGCGAAAACAAACTTTATTTTCCATTTTTCATAGGGTTTTCGTGGATTTTGACCCCCTAAACATTAAGCGAAAATGATCCGGCAGGCCTTCTTTACCCTAAGACATTTTTTCCAGATTAAAATTGATTAAATAAACCTTGATTTAAGCGATTTTTACAACGCAAAATTACCCAGGTTCTTCAGCGAAATTAGGGATTCGCAGCCGGAAGTCGATGCAAATCGATGCAAAGTCCAAAAAGATAGCCGAAAAAACTGTTCAGAATTCGGGGAAAAACAGTATTTTCGTCATAACTCGAGAACTACTATAGCTACGGGGCTATAAGTCAGGATTGTTGTTATTTAGGGTCTGATACACCTTTGGTCCAAATTTGTGGCCGATTGGATGTAACACGGCGAAATGCCAGATGGGTCGTTTTTTTTGGGACACCCTGTATATTTGTTGTGTCAAATGTCATCTAGGATAAAAATGACAAGTATTAAGCCCCAGATTTTTGCATTATTATGATGTTTTCTCTTCTCAAAATTTAGACCCTGGCTCCTTTCAGAAGCGCCATAAAGTTACCGTAGGAATGAACCAAAATACGCAATTTAATTAGACCGCAAACTGATTATATCGGGAAAAAGACCTTTATCAGCAAATTTCACTAAATTCATAGCAATAAGACATATCTGGAAGAGGGCCCTTGAGACAATCGAAACAATTGAGATCTTCGAATGTGGGTCGATAGTTTGCCTGTAAAATAAGAGATGGTTTGCCATTCGGCAAATAATTCGTCGCATCCAATTGACGAACCGTCCATATAGTCGGCGTTTCCCCCTTTGTTTCCGGTTCCACAATCCGTTGATATGTCCATTCATTCATCTTCACCGATGCTATTTTCATTGTCTTATCGTTTGGAATAATTCCCAACTGAAATTTCGATTGATCTGCGATGTTTTCACAGTCTCTCAATACTTTTTATATCCATTGGCTGTTGTCCGGTATGTTCAAAAAATGGTTGAATGGGGACTGACCTGCATTTGCTCGTATTTCTCGAAATAGTGGGAAGTCGCAGTGGAAATCTTGAAAGATCTGTGCAATTTTCAATTATAGTGGAGCAGAGACAGCCATACCGACGTGACGTATAGGAAATGCTGAGAACTACGTCAGGCTGAATTGTTGCATAATTATATCGACAGAAGATACAGTACCTTGTTGCGCTGGAAGATCCACAGATATTTCGATTCACTAAATCGGAATATTTACTTCAATAGCCAAGTAAAAAGTTGTTATTGTTTTTCTAAGCAGATAGCTGCCGATCTGCTCGCATTAACACCCAATCCACACTTTCAAAACTCATTTTCTCTACCCAAATACCAAATACCTATTACAACTTCATAACGCATGGTGTAAGTACTTGCTTGGTTATTTTTAAGCTTATGACATCTTATTCCTTACCTCCTATCTTCCGGTGTAATCAAAACAATTCGCAGATTCCACTTTGCCTCAAAAGCCATCTGTTTCTCACCGATGAATGGGAAATACTGAACAGAATAAAGTTACTATAGCTTGATAAATTCAGAATACCCAGGGGCCACGGTGAATGATATCTCCCGAACCCCCTGATGTCCCTCCATTCAAAAGTTTCTAAAGGAAATTTAGAATGCTGGCCGTCTATGGCATTTATTTACCTGTAAACTTCGAATAGCATATGATGAGAAGTTGATTCCGTCCTTCGACCGATCACCTGTTCATCAATGTGTTTACTTAAAGCGCACGTTCAGGGAGGGGCCGTGTACTCGTCCCAACGTGTACACCCTATGGACGTAGGGACCGCGCGCACTGCCTGCCCGTGCTGTGACAGGCCATTCCCCTCCTTTGCGGGGTGGGGCGCCCCTCGGCCCCTCGTCAGGTTGTAGCTGTGGTTGACTGGTATCCATCCGCGCCTCCCGAGCGGGGGGCCCGGGTTCGACCCCCGGCCGCGGCAAAAATCTTTGCTTTTTTCCAAAAAAACGTCCCTGAACGTGCCCTTTAAAGAACTGAGGCAACCTCAATTTTGTTCAAACAAGCATACCCCCTACGTACCTTTCCAGCCCTTCCCCCGTTCAAACAAACTTTTCAAAAGTGCGTTTAACTGGACACGCAAAGTAATCGTGGCAACTCTGGAACTCAATAAATGCATTTTGGCATGAAAGCTTACGTCATTAGTGCCCTAATGACAACCTTGGTGGCTTCTAAAAAGACGCTTTACACGTTGATAAAATCGGCGGTAATGGAAAAGAAATTACGCAGGGAAATGGGCTAGGTGTTAACCGTGAACCCTACAAAATGATACAATAAGCATCGGGTAGCGAGAAAAATACCGTATCGAAGTACCGGAATATCAAAAAAGGCACTTGCCAGTAAATCCTAGAGAGCTCCATACACCAGCCCATTCATAAAAAGCCACCTACAAAACGGGTGTTTTAGAAAAAAGAAGACAATTTACCTCGGATGGATACTCATTTCTGCTGACAAGTGAAAGCATACATCGGCTTCTCGACACAATCCCCTAAATTGCTTTCAAAAACTGTGTGATTTACAAAATTCCCTTTAACCAGACAATTAATATAAACGTTTACTCTTTTAAAGACGAAAAGCTTACACGGAATGGTGGAGAATGAAAGATAGTCATCATCTGGCTGATATCTGAAGGGTTGGATGGCTGGAACCAGGGCATCAGAAAGTCAGAATTTTTCCTACTTCCCGCTAAATTCCTCGTTTTGTTATATGAATACATATAGATTACCTATTCCTTGAATGAAAGAACAATACACTTTCTGAAGATCCGTCGGCCCCTTCGTAAATTGATGAGAAGTCCTACATCCTCCACCCATAATACTAAAACTTGCGTCCTTCCAATATTAAAAGGCCGTTTGCGAGCCAACCGAACAGAGGCTGGCACAGGATTTTTTCGATCCGGTTTTTTTGACGCCATGTAAAAGAGCATGGTCGAATTAGTAGGAATGCACGGTTTTTAGATTTTTAAAAGTTCATTTTTGGGGTTTAAAGGACCGTTAAAGTCGTTCACCCCAAAAAATTATCTTTGAAGTTACTTAACCAAATTTGCTGAAAATTTGTGTCCATACCTAATTTGGCGCGGGGATCATTTTTCCAATACATTGCGAAGCCCGAAAATCACCGGAACATCGGAATCTCGCGTACTCAGAACAGTTTTTCAAAATTTTCTATTTTTTAGAGTGTTGCCTGTAACGTGAAAATAACATAGAAAGATGCGCAAAAATTTTCTGCATCGAGTGTTGTATTTTCTAGAGTGCAGTGAACACTCTAAAAACTACAAAAACGGCCTTAACTCCAGCCAAAAATAAAAAATTTGATCAGATGTGGAGGGAAAAGCATAGATTTGTATCTGCTGCAAAAATCACGGCGAAGGCAAAAAAGAGCAAAAAGAAATTCGGCTTCTAAGAGGGGGCTGGAATTGAACTCGGGTCGTTCGCCTGGGAGGCGGCGGCGCCCTCTAGGGGTTGTCCCCAGTTCCCCCCAGGCGAGCCATCGCGAGTTCGATTCCAGTAACTCGTTAGATTCTCTTAGAAAAGGAATTTATTTTTCCGATTTTTTGTATTAGGCCGGGAATTATCTCAATAAGGCATGCACAAGTCTGTTTTCTATAATACGCAGGCGTCTTCGACGTACAGGGCTACTTTCACATATAAGAAACTATTATTTTTGCAATTTTTAGAGTGTTCACTGCACTCTAGGAAATACAACACTCGATGCAGAAAATTTTTGCGCATCTTTCTATGTTATTTTCACGTTACAGGCAACACTCTAAAAAATAGAAAATTTTGAAAAACTGTTCTGAGTACGCGAGATTCCTATGTTCCGGTGATTTTCGGGCTTAGCAATGTATTAGAAAAATGATCCCCGCGCCAAATTAGGCATGGACACAAATTTTCAGCAAATTTGGTTAAGTAACTTCAAAGATAATTTTTTGGGGTGAACGACTTTAACGGTCATTTAAACCCCAAAAATGAACTTTTAAAAATCTAAAAACCATGCAGTCCTACTAATTCGACCATGCACTTTCACATGGCGTCGAAAAAAAGGGTCGCAAAAAACTGTGCCAAGCCCTAAGGGGGTCTGTTCGAGTGACCCGCGGATGGCCTTTTAATCAGCAACTTACTCGATTTCAAGCCAAAATCCTTCTTCCGATGTAAATTCAGCTGGCTGAAATGATCAAACTACAGCTATGAAAATCTCTGCTCACAATCATCTTCCTCTCGATTGCTTTCTTCACCCATTTTTCCTTCTGGTCTTCCACATCTTTTCCGTCCATCATTTTGTCGACTATTTCCAGCAGTTTATCAGACTCTTCCAGCTAAATCGCACGCTAAATTACGGCTGATTTTCGATTTGACTAATTTCTAGACTGTCGCATAGAAACCGTCCCGTTCCCTGAATTCCTGCTCCCGACATGTTTTACAATATTTTGCGTGGGAAATCCGGTTGCACATTATTCTTATGTGGGCCCCATCACTGGTAACAAATTTTGCCCGGTCGAATAGAAGACGACCAAATGCCGTGGCGGGTAGGGGAGGGGTGGGGGGGGGTTTGGGACGCCCTGTACATATGTAGTACAATATTCAGACCAAAATCGCGGGTAAGTTAGGCCAACGCGAAAGAGACAAGAGAATAGTCGGAAAAGCACCGTACCGCAAAGTCTTCATTTCTGTCGTTTGTCACCACAGTCTTCGTTTCCGTGGCTAAATGCCAAGTAAATTTCTATAAATTACCACAAGCAGCACCTGCAGTCACAACAACCGTCTTCAGGGTTGACCCTGAATAAACATTTTCGGGTCAACTTGTCAAACTGACCAGCTTGAACATCAATTTCAGCCGTAGCATTGACATTCCCTGTGGCCGCAGTCTTGAATGCCGGAACTACGGAACAACATTGAACACAGACTAAAACGAACTTCCAGAACGTCTTGCTAACTCGATGGAATCCCTTGGCACGAATCGCGTCACAAACTTCTTAACTTGTCCAATCACTGAAAAAGTCACTGCCAAAATCGCTGGTTCGAACCGGCTGAAACCAACCAAAACAACCAATAGTCTCGACCACCAACCTCCGAGACTGCCGTCACTCGACGCCGAACCATGTTGAATGGGAATTCCTGACGAACGTTTTGCCAACTCAATCGAATCCACTGGCAAAAATCTCGCGCCCAACTTCTTGACATTTACAATCTCTGAGAAAAAATACGGGAACAGGTTGATTGGGACCTGTATGATGCTCGATTCCTGCTGAGAGGGTGCTTATTTCGGCGTCGCAAACCAGTTGCTGAAAACACAAAATAAATATCTTCACAACCACAAAAACTATTTAGGGCCAACCCTTCGGAAAAAATGTATAAACGATAGAGAACTTTTCGCTTAAAGTAGGGCCTACTCTCTCTCGGATTATCATTTGTTCGCCATCCGCTCGACCAACTACAGGCCATGGTGAAGTATTTTCCGAGTCTATCTCCAAGTCGTACAATTTTGTGCAAAACACTTCATAAAATGGCTCCTAAAATTTGACAGTGAGGCATTTCATAGTATCAACCTTTTTTAGACCATTGGCTTCTTCTAATGCTTTTGCGGCAGTTGGCCTTCCTTCTGGCAGCTGTCGAACACATCTAACAAGGAGTGGTTTTTGAGTGTCATTGGCAAATCCCTTCGCGACTTAGCTCATTCGATAGAGAATTGAATTCTGAACAACCTCTCGTTGTTCGTTTTTGCAAAACGGCTCTCCCTGATTTTATAAAATTAAAAAGCTAAAATTTGAATTTTACGTACCCCGTCTGGCGCGGCCAGCCTACTTTGACCGCCCCTAGGACATGAGCTCTCTCTGCCTCCCCCTCTCACCATGGGACGTGGCCTAGTGGTTAAGACTTCCGCCTTCAAAAAGTTTTTGCATCATGTGGAAAGTTCGGTTCCCTGGTAGAAAATTTGTTTTGCTTTTTGTTAACAAAAGCGTTTGCAGACGCTTTGATAAGTTAATTGATTCAAAATAATACTTATTACAACGTTGGCTGCTCTGCGCGCATTCAGGAAAATTTACAAAAAACAAACAAATAATATGGTCCAGGTTAGTGTGAGTCCTCTCAATTTGAAGTACAAATAATACAAAAAGCAAAACAAATTACATCTACAAGAACCGAACTTGCAAAAGATGGAAAAATAAATTTTGGAAGGCAGCCGCGTTAGCCACTGCGCCAGTGGGACGCGCTGAACGCCTCTTCCCGTAGAGCGGGGCCCACATTATTTTGATGGGGCGAACCGACAGTTGGCCAAATTCCATTCAAAGTTTTGTAATTTTACAAAATCAGGGAAAGGCGTTTTGCAAAAATGAACACCGGGAGGTTGTTCAGAATTCAATTCTCTATCGAATGAGCTAGGTCGCGAAGGGATTTGCCAATGACGCTCAAAAACCATTCCTTGTAAGAGTGTTTCCCGAGCGGAAGTCAATAAACAAACTTTTCTAAGAGATCTGCGACAGAATCTCGACAATTTGCTCTTTCTAGTGGTGGACCGTGACAAATTCGAGAGATGAGGACAGCGGCATTGTTGATGTCATGAAATACTGTCCTAAATACGGCGAATACGTTTTGTTTGCATAGCGGTTAGTTTACAGGAGCAGTTTTTTAAAGAAGCAATCATAACCAGAATCTATTTTGAAAAACTTAGCTCTGAAAAAGCCAGTTATCAAACTTACAGCAAACGGACAAAGAAGCTAGGCTAAGCCAAGCTAAAAATTAAAGGCTAAACAACTAAAAATTTCGAAAACTTTTGTCGGAACCTGATAAGAACTTTGTGGTATTTCTACAGTTTTTACCAAACAATCAAGAACGCAACAAATATGGAAGCACGTTAAATTTAACCCCCTGAATTCTTACCGTCTTTCGATACATTCCCAAAGTACAAGCCCGGCAGAATACAGATCACTAGCATAAGTAAACTGAAACATTTCGAAGCCGACCATGTATAAAATACTGTCTGTTGATCGTTAACTGCCCCAAATGCTTCCGGAGGGATATATCGCATTGTACCAAACACTCCGTAACTGAATTCTCCTCAAAATAAGAAGTCAAGAATCCCCACCAGGAATTATCCGTATTCTCCGACTTTGACAGTCCAAAGTCGCACAGCTTTATTTCGCAGTTCTCGCCGAGTAGCATACTAAATTGGCGGTGGTGACTCAAATCTCTGAGGTTACTTTGTAGCCTTTATGTCGCGATGATAGATCTTTTTTCCCTCCAGATAGACCAAAGTATCAAATATTTGACATGCCCAATCGATGACCAGGGTTATTGAATAGCGTTGTTTCACATCGCTTATGACTAGAAATTTCAGTCTTTTTTTTAATTGAAATACGATGGAGGGATAGATTAAGGAACAGAGAGAGAGAGAGAGAGAGAGAGAGAGAGAGAGAGAGAGAGTGAGAGAAACCCGTCCTTACATGTTTTCAGGTCTCCGCGTTGGCAATATTCAGTGACAATATTTGCAATTTGTCCGTCGTCACTTTCGTAGTAATCGATATATTCGATAATATTTGGGTGAGACAACTTTTGGAGGGTCGCTACCTCTCGTCGAAGATGAGTCGGATGTGGGGGTGATCGAATACGTTTGATGGCCACATGTCTGCAAGAAATATTGATGAGGCACCGCCAAATGTTTTATTTGACTCGACTCGAGTCTCCTAAGAATAATAAAAACAAGCAAACAAAAACCTTTTCATAAATTAGATAGAACATACCGTTGTTCCCTGGTCTCAAGGTATACACTTCCAAAAGCGCCTGAACCAAGGCGTCGACTTTCCGTAGCTGAGCTCATATTTCGGCGTGTTAGTTGGGAAGAAGAATGGTTCGAATCAATGTCACTTCCTCACTCAAATTCGTTATCAGATTTTTCAGCTCGATGCGCCAACTGAATCCGTGGCGCCGACCCATTTTTCACGCACGAAGTGGCAGCTGGCCATACAAAAATGAGCTGCCCGGAGAGATAAGGGCAGGAAGAAATCTACTTTTGGTGAAAACGCTAGAATTCATTGATTTCACGATTTCAAAATGCCCGACTCGCGAAAACGCATAATTCAGACGGAAACGTTGCACGGATGCAATTCTCACTCAAAACATCAGCATAACTCAACTAATATTTGCAATTTCAAGGGGAGTATGCCAGAAGCGTTGCTTTTGAATTGCGAATTGAATCTGGATTTTGCACCCATAATCATAACCCGGATACCTTCACATATTCACAGACACCTTTTGTTACGTATTATCGGGATTTTCCCGTGGCGGAAATGGTTGTACCGTCGTGGCAATATCAACAATAGGCAATGCAATATTTCCTAAAATAACTGTCGCTTCAATAAGATATTGAAAAACCCTGGCGGCCCTGCAACATAAAACACGAGCTGAAACTCTGGAATGCGCGCTTCCCAACGAACCATCGCCAGCTCCGTAGCTCTTTGTGCATTAATAGCACCCTAAAATCCGGAGCATAAATATCACTCGTTTTAAGTTCCGGGTGAAAATTTTTATGCGGATGAAGTGTCCGTAATTTTCACCGTAAACCGTTTTTTTACCGTTTTTTTTTTGGTTTTCTTGATCATAAGTCCGCGTTTTTGCAATGAGTAATGGGTGAATGGCTAGCCAGACCCGGACCATTCAACTACAGGGTGTCCCAAAAAAAAACCCCCCCTCGGCATTTGGCCGTCTTCTATCGGATCAGGGCCAAATTTTTACCAGTGATGGGGACCCATAAAAACTATGTGCAGCCAAATTTTCTAAGCAAAATATTGTAAAACCAAAAAGTTATCGCTAAAAAACTGATTTTTGGAAAACGCTGGTACTCGTTTTTGGCTATGTTTTCCCAATTAGCATGCCGATTTTGAGTAATTTTCCAAAAAATGGTCATTTCTCGGTCAGTTTCTGGCAATTTCGATAATAAAAAGTGATCAAAAGGCCCAATTTAAACGTAATTTTCGTAAATCAAAAAACTTCTACAGGTAGAAAAGAGTGCCCTCTTCATTTTTGCTAAACATTTCGAGGCCGAAATCCGTCAAAATCCTAGTGAAATCGGCAAAATAAATCTTAATTTTGATATATCTTCTTTGTTTTACAATATTTTGCTAAGAAAATTCGGCTGCACATAGTTTTTATGGGTCCCCATCACAGGTAAAAATTTGGTCCCGATCGGATGGAAGACGGCCAAATGCCGAGGGGGGGGGTTTTTTTTTGGGACACCCTGTATACATTTTTAGGTACTCATTAATTATCAATCGATAAATATCTACGATTATTTATTTGGGAACTTTTTCTGGTCAATTGAATCGATTTGAAGAGGGAGAATATCATCTAAGAAAAGCCATCCATATCCACCCCCATAATATCACTCATCACTCCATTTTGCGTTTTTAATATAAAAGTTCCTTTAATTTTATTGGGTTTACTATTTATACTTCGTTGTTGAAACCTTCTAATTTTAATTAAACCAGTCTTTAACGTTTATTTCTTTTCCAGAAACACTGTGCGAGCACCGACGTCTATTCTCCACCAAAAATCCCTCTTCGCGTTGGCCATAGAAAGCACATTGCTCTCTTAACTTTTTGTATCTATTTTTATTTTCGTGTTCAAAGTTTTCTATTTTTTCAAAAACGTTCAAAACTTTTTAACGACCTCAATCTTCGTCGTCAAAAATCTTAAAAAAACAACTTGTGTATCATACCCAGCATATTGAAGCATTCTGACACTCGGAAACGGGAGGTCTAGTACCTATAGTTTTTACCGTTGTGTGTCTGTGAGTTGTTGAATTAAGATAGCAAGATACAAAAATTATTTTATTTTCGTGTAAACAACACTTATTCAGCACATGTCTTGGAATTCGTGACAATAAGACATATCTGGTAGTGGACCCTTCAAATAGTCGAAACAATTGATATCATCAAATGTCGGTCGATAGTTCGCCTGCAAGCATACAGTGCAGTGGGTCCAAAAAAAGCACCCCCTCTAGCGGCCCAGAGGAAGCTCAGATCCGGATTTTTATTATCCGGGTTATCCGACACGATTCGAAAACTCTCGAAAAGGCGAGAAAACAAGCCGGCTTCATTTTCTAAGATTTAATCTCATTCCAGCCATATTCAACATATCCTACAAACGGGTAATTTTGCAATCAGCATGCAGATCTCGCATAAATCAGCAGTTTTCATGATCTTTGGTCTTTAAAATGGCCATCAAAATACATAATACATAGAAAATGACCCCTCCTGGTGTTCTCGCCTTTTCGAGAGCTTTCGATAGATAACTCAATCGTTAAAATCGGTCACGATTATAGGGGGTGCTTTTTTGGAACACCCTGTATTTTATAGTAATGGGCGAATAACTTCTATGGTTCAATTGACCAACCGTCCATATCGTCGGCTGTTCCCCGTCGTTTATCGGTTCCATTCTCCGTCTATATGCCGATTCATTGGTCTGCTCCCATGCTATTTTCATTGTCTCATCTTGTGGAATGATTCCCAACTGAAATTTCGATCTATTTTCCATAGTTTAACAGTCTATGAATTTTTTTTTGGCAGCGGATTGGATAATCGATGTGGCTCAAGATCGTTGACTTTTAATAGAACTGCCCTGTATTGATATATTGGAGGGTGAATCCACGGAAATGTTGAAGCATCTTTGGAATTTCGTATTTTAGTGGAAAGCAGATGCAGTCCTACCGATCCGAATCGTAGCAAAAGCATATTGCTCCGTCGGGCTAAAATTGAAGGTTGATGATATCGATAAATACTGTACTTTCTTGCCATGGAAGATGTAGAGATATCTCGATCCACTAAATCAGAATATTCATCGACCGTAGTGCCATGTTATGCTTTTCTGTCGCAATTCCTACTTTTTTTACTTCTTTCTTTCATTGATCGTAGGAATTCTTTCATACAAATTAGAAGCCCGTCTTTATTTTAAAGGGACAAGACAAGAAAACGGGGACTCAATGATCCCCGGAGGGAGGCCTTCTGGTCACTTTACGATTCCCAGTCACCTGATCGAAAAATCGCCTGATCGAAAATCTCCTGATCGAAAATCGCCTGATCGAAAAATCGCCTGATCGAAAATCTCCTGATCGAAAATCGCGTGATCGAAAAGTCGCCTGATCGAAAATCGCCTGATCGAAAGTCCCCTGATCGAAAAGTCGCCTGATCGAAAATCGCCTGATCGAAAGTCCCCTGATCGAAAAATCGCCTAATCGAAAATTGCTGTAGCAAATCCTTATCAAAGTTGTAGCATATTTTCTGCTGCACGTCGAGCGTCGTCCGGTCGCGTTTCTTCGGGGCATGCGCGTATTCTCGGAGCTGTCGCAGTTTGACCCGGGTTTCGAGCTCGAACTCTTCTAGTTGAGGAATTTCCACATGTACGGGTGCTTGCAGCCAAAGTGTTGGTTGAGTGCGTTGTTGGTGCCTAAGCCTAAGTCTAAGTCTAACAAGGAGTGCCTTTTGGGTGTCATCGGCAAATTCCTTCGAGACCTAGCTCATTCGATAGAGAATTCGATTCTGAACAAAACCCCGTTGTTCTTTTTTGCAGAATGGCTATCCCTGATTTTATAAAATTAAAATACTAGTGACCGTCTCTTACCATGAGTGCCTTTCGAGCCAAAAGAGAGGCTTTTGAGTGCAGTTTTAAAATTTTATAAAATCAGGGATAGCCATTCTGCAAAAAAGAACAACGGGGTTTTGTTCAGAATCGAATTCTCTATCGAATGAGCTAAGTCTCGTAAGGTTTTGCCGGTGACACCCAAAAGGCACTCCTTGTAAGCCTAACCACGAAGCATGGTATGACAAATTACTTCCAGGTGCTGGGGCAAGAATAATTTTATTTCACCTGGTTTGGTCCTTCAGCCCCGATAATTTTCGATCAGACGATTTTCGATCAGGTGATTTTTCGATCAGGCGATTTTTCGATCAGGCGACTTTTCGATCAGGCGATTTTCGTTCAGGCGATTTTCGATCAGGCGATTTTTCGATCCGGCGATTTTCGATCAGGTGTTTTTCGATCAGGTGTTTTTCGATCAGACGACTGCCAACCCACTTTACAAAATTCCATTTTGAGGCGGAAAATTTGTGAAGATCAAAAGATGCGCGTGATCCCCACCATCGAATACATAAGTTGACCAAATTCTAGCTTCCATCCGGACACCACGGCTCTTGGCACATTCTGTTAAAGGGCATGCTCAGGGACGTTTTTTTTTGGAAAAAAGCAAGGATTTTTGCCGCGGCCGGGGGCAGGCCTGGCAGCCTCCTTGGCGGCGCCACATTTGCCCCCTCATCCCATCTATTCTTAACCGTCGGATTTACAGTAGCCGAGAGGGTACTGTATCTACCATCCCTGGCATACTGTATTCTTGCGGCTATTGGGATTTCGAGGGTTATCCCAAATTTCCGCAAGAATACTCTTTACGCGGTGGTGACGATGCTTTTAGCATTGTCGTGGCAGGTGAGCAATTTATCTTCTAACGCTCGAATCGAGTCGGCCACGCTCCCTTCTATGTAAAAATCGTTTCAGCGTTCGATGGACTGGCGTACAGAGTACAGTTTGTATAGTAGTGGACTCAAAGTTTGTCCTGATAACGCGAAAATCCACTACAATCTCGGGAAAATTCTAACGACCCATGGAAATCCGATAGAAGCCAGTATGAAATATGGAAAAGCGATTGAGTGAGTTTGGAGTTTGTAGTGACAAATAAAATACCGTATTCCAGGTTGAATCCCGAATACGAACAGGCCATGAATAATTTGGCTAACATCTTCGAAGCTCAAGGGAGATATGCGGAAGCGGTCGAACTGTTACGCAGGGCTACAAAGTACGTTTTTACGTTGAAGTCCATGGGATTAAAATGAAGCCTTAAAAATACGATTTAAATGTTAAAAATAGTCAAATTGCAAGTCAGATTAACGATTCCACCCGGTGTTTACCGAAAATTCGCAACATTTCAATTAATTTTCAGGATTCGCCCTCATTTCGCGACTGCTTGGATGAATCTGGGGATTGCCGAGATGAAAATGGCCAACTTCAATGTAGTTTTCCGATTTGAATTTTACTATTGCCATTTAGAGCTCTCTAACGGCTTTTAAAACATCCCTCAGACTTCGCCCACATTCCCCCGATTGCCATTTCAACCTCGGAAATCTCCATCTGGCCGCTAGAAGGGGGGACGAGGCGATGCAGAGCTGGAAAAGGGCTATCGAGTACGTTTGCATACGGAATTAAGTGCCAAAAATATTGAATTTCTTCTTTTGTGGGTTGATTTAACTCAAACTATCTTCCAGACTACCTAACGCGATAAAAAAAGAAAATTTAGAATTTCAAAAAGTATTTTTCGAGAAAAAAGTTTCCAAATCGAGCCTTTTTAGCGGCTTATCTGAATTTCGTGGTTGCAAAGCTTCATAAATTACAAATTTTGTTCAGAAATTGACACAATTAGCCCACAGTACCTAATTATCCGGGCTGGTCGGTACGTTACGATAAGGAATTACACCTTCACAAAGGCGAATTCCGCAATTTCTCGAGCGTCTTGCAGCCAATTGGCTGCCAGAAAAAACTAAACCTTAAAATTATCATTTTTTAAAAGTACCGGCCTCTGATTTCTCGATTCCAGACAGGACCCCTCTCATCCGGGTGCTTGGGTGAATATTCTTGTTCGATTGGATGAAAACGGACAATGCGAAAGCGCGATAGAAATGGCTGGAAACTTGCCAAACACCGCCCATTCAGCTATTCATTTTCAGGTGATCTTTGAAAACGGACACTGTTAAATAAAACCACGCGATAATTATTTATGATTATTTTCAGCTGGGAACTTGCTATGGCCAATTGAATCGATTTGAAGAGGGAGAATATCATCTAAGAAAAGCCATCCATATCCACCCCCACAATGGAATGTATCACTCCAATTTGCGTATGTTTTCGTGAAAAAAATTGGTTTTCTTCAAATAGATTCATTTTGCAAGTTTTAATTTGTAAAAATGCCAATTTTTTTACTTTTCAAATACGGTTCTTACAGTTGTACTTTACGAGCGCCGGCGCCTCTTTGCCGCCAAAAATTCGTCCCAACCGACTACGCAACGCTCTAAAACACACCTCCAAAAATTGGGCACAAATATTACCGGTCGATTGTGATTCTTTTCTATTTTCTTGGTTGTTAATTTTGTTAATATTATGGGCATATTTTCGTGCGGGTATAAAAATGTATACGTTTTCAATTGCGTCTATAATTTAGCAAACGTATAAAATAAAATTTGGCGTTTTGGGGCAACGTTCAAAATTGCAGGAAAATGGTTTCGATCTTACAGAAATAGACAACAATTTTGCGATTAGCACATTTCAGTAAATTCGCGACAAAAAGACATATCTGGTAGTGGACCCTTGAGACAATCGAAACAATTGATATCATCGAATGTAGGGCGGTGGTTTGCCTGGAAAATCAAGTATTTTATGGAAACAAACAAACCGTCCATATCCACGGCTTTCTCCCCTCTTTTTCCGGTGTCCATGTTCTTTTATAAGTCGATTCATTAATCTTCTCCGATGTCACTTTGCATTTCTTCTCTTTTGGAATGATTCCCAACTGAAATTTCCACTTCTTTTACAACCCGATACTTTTTATATTCCACTAGAATGGTGGTCCCCATTATTCTGTCGAAAATAGCTGTCAATGAATGAGACTGACCTGCATTTGCTCGTATTTTAGACAAATGGAGGAAGAAGCCATGGCAATGGCGAAAGTTCTGTGCAATTTCATATTATAGCTGAAGGAAGATGCAGTCATACCGCTCTGAATCATATCTAAGGCTTAGAGCTGCGTCGGGCTGGAATTGATGTTGAATGGTATCGATAAATACAGTACCTTGTCGCTAGGGAAGATCCAGAGCCATCTCCATCCACTAAAAAAGATTCATCGTGAATTAAAAAATAACCGCCGATCCACCGGCCAAGTCAAAATCCACAACTTTCAATTTTGAGAATTTTGTCAAGATTTATTATTTATAGTTTGTGATTTACATTAAACTGTGATAAAGAACATTTTAAAACAAATTGATAAATATTTATGTTGTGTAAATATAAACAAGACACTTGCATGGCTGTTTTCGAAAATATAACAGATTGCACAGATAATTCCTCTGTAATCAACACAATTCGAACATTATATTTCTCCTCAAAAGCCCTCTGTTTCTCACCGATAAATGGAAAATGCTGAAGAGAAAAATGTAATATATTTGGATGAATTCAGACTACCCAGGGGCCGCGGTGGATGTTATCTCCCGAATCCCCTGATGTCCCTCCATTCAAAAGTTTCTAAAATGAATTTTTATCTGGTTGTCTATTCTGTTTATTAACCTGTATACTTTGAATGACAAATGATGAGAAGTTGATCCCATCCTCTATCGACTTATTACCTGTTGCTCATATTACAGAACGTATCATAAAAGATTCGCTTCAAAAATTATTCGGGGCGGTACGAATGAAAAATGACATGCTACATTAACATTAAAAGATATCGAGGATGTTCTTCAAAACAGCTCAAAGAATCACCGCAAGAATTGTCTTTCTATATAAAAAGTAGCCTACCAGCAAACCTTAGTTCTTTCCAGACACCGGCCCATCCATAAATAACCCTCTGCAAGACAGTGGATGTATTAAAAACAGAAAGAAGGAGGTAGTATACCTCGGTTGGATATTCTTTATTCGAGGATAATGAAAGCCAGCCGCGGGTTTTCGATAATACTCCCTAAATTTTTTGAAAATTTATATGTTGGAAAAATAACTTGAAAATAAAATTAAGAAAGGGCGAAAAATTCCCTTGAAAAGGAAAATTCTTACGCGGAATATTGGAGAATGAAGGATATTCATCATCCGGCTGATATCACAAGATTTGGCTGTGGGGAAGGAGATATCCAGATTTTGATAATCTTTGCTGCAATTCCCTAATATTGGTGGTCTTATTACACGAAGATATAATACCTAATCCCTCAATGAAAGAACAATACAGTCTCCGAAGATCCGTCCTTCCCTTGATATTATGCCTCTGGAACTTCCACACTCCGCCCATCATTCTAAAACTTGTCTTCCTCTAACATAGATCGCCATGCACCTAATCTCAACGACAAATCCATCTTCCGAGATAAATTCTTCTGGCTTAAATTGGTGGTGAAACTACAGATGCGAAAACGGTTTCTCACAATCAGCTTCGCATTGATCGCTTTCTTCATCCATTTCTCTATAAGATCCACTGTCTCTTCTTTATCCTCCACTATTTTGCCGACAATTTCCCCAAGTTGATCCTAAATTTCGAGCTGAAGAATACAGTACAATGGCATTTTAGTTGTGAATAACCCATCTATCTTGCCAAAAAATGACTAAGCGACTGATTGTAATCCAGAAAATAGTGATACCTCATTAGAATCAAGCTCTGACATCGGGGATATTTTATTCATTTGGAGTTCTGAACAGGAATAAAATGATTAAATTAGGAACGGAGACCTGGCTGGACATCGATTTCTGGTGCGCGCTCGATTTGACCGTCGTCAAGCATTTGCTGCAAGTGCGTCTATAATGAAACCCTGGCATGCTACTTGTCTCAAAAAGTGCGACGAGGAACTGTCAGATCGAAATACTGCCAGTCGTAGGCCCTGTACATTATCTGACCTGAAAGCCGAGTCTCGCCCTGTCCATTTGCCGTTCGGTCTCGAGGAGATGTCTGTAATATTTGAGACAAGAGTCATAATGTTTGTAGAAAGCCATTTCACGCTCTTCGCAGTTAATAGTATCTCTTATTGTGGCGATTAGCCGCTGTTCTTTCTGAAATACGCTAAATCTTTGCGAAGTACAGCAACTAGCCGCCGTAATTGCGGCGATCTCCATTGGAAAGGAATTTGCCAGTTGGTCAGCAAGTGGCCGAACTATCGCATCAATCCATTTCTGCATAACGCTCGTGTAAATGAGTACCTATTAGGATTCAGATCCACTAATGCTGTCAAGAACCTGTGCTTCCTCCAACGAAATCCATCGAGTTATTGGTTGATCCTGTGAACCTTGTAGCTTCTGACAGCCCTTGCTGCATACAATCAACGAGTTCGCCTGGTTAGGTATTTCCGCAATATATGACAAAACTCACGTTGCGACGAGACAACTCTAACTCTACATCCGGCCTCCATTCCTTTTTCCATTTTCTTTTCAGTTCATTTTCCAATTTAGAATGTTCCAGGAACATTTCCTCGACTGGATGCCCATCACTTCTACATTCTGTACAACGATATTTTCGTGTATACCAGGGTGTCTAAAATAATTGTTGTCCTTACTGTTGGGTTCGGGTTTTACAATCAATGGCATTCAATCCATCGACAGCGTGCTCCAAAAAACTCTCCAACTTATTTCAGCTTTTGCTTTAGTGACATATATCGCTCGAAAGAATATTTCCCCAACTTTTGCCGACTATATGATTTTTACTTTCATGTTTTGCAGCCAATTTTAAAATGAGTTTTTGCGCTTGGGCGTTCTGTCTTCAGCCACTCATAATAGACAAGCTTTCAAAAACTATAATGGCCGCCGTGAAAGGCCCGCCCTGGAAATTTGGCGGGCCGGGCCGGGCCGAGAAATTGAAAAATGCCGAGCCGGGCCGGGCCGGCCCGGGGGTTTTTACGAAGTCTAAAAATACCTTTTTGGGGGGAAATTCGGTCTTATTTTGGCTATTTTCGCTCACCAATAGTCGATTTGGCGTTATTATACCGTCTCAATAAAAATTTGGTCCTTTTCTTGATTAAGCCCCTACCAGGAAATCGGTCGGGGCTCGACCCCCGGCCCGGGGTCTTTTTTTGCTTTTGAAGTTTTCTCTCAGCGCGACCGGATTTTTTCTTAGGGTATCAGGATGTATCGTTGTACTAAACCAAGGCCCAAAATATATACTAATATGGCGAATTTAAAGTCGAAATGGTTTAATTTGACATTATTATCCTGATATCGGTCGATATTTACAGGGTGTGCAAAAAAAAAAAAACAAATTCTGGGTCAAAATAACTCGCGAACGGTAGAGAATCGAAGGTACGTTACCATGCCAGAATGCTTAAATATGCTGGGCATGAAGATTTAACACAACTTGATTTTTTCGATTTTTGGCGACGTATCAATACAAATGACACCCGAAAACTGTGCGTTCGGGGAAACTTCATTTGTATTTTTCTCACTTTCCTGTGGTGGCTGGCACCTAATTTTTATTAAGTAAGTTAATATCAGCAGCAGATATGTACCTACAAAATTTAAGGATTTTTGAGGGTCTGGTTGAAAAGTTAGAGAGGAATGAAATTTTGTATGGAGAAATTTCGTAAATTTTTAATATTGAAAAAACCTATGGCGAAAACCTCAAAAACAGTTGTTGTGGAATACCTACGAGCCCGTTACAATCGCATCAAAACCTTAAAAAAATTTTTGAGATCGATGAATTTTCGAGTTTTTCAACGAAAGCTTTTTTCGAGTTTTTCAGCGTCGAAAAAATTTTAAGAAGATTTCTAAACTTCGATTTTGGAATAGGGTGATCTTCGATTTTGAGCTAAAAGTCACCATGATCATGAATCAGATTGCCCCCAAATTTGACGGGCGTAAATAATAACCCCAAAGCTATCATCGTATCCGTAAGATCCAGGTGGTTTTTTTATTTTTAAAATTTCGAAAACTGACCCGGCTACTCGGACCCAAAATCGGCTCTCTGGCCTTGTTTTGCACTTGGCCTCGTAACTTTGTTATTTACCACCCAAAATTAGTCACTTTTGACAGCCTATCTTACAATCATCTCTAGAAGGCCCTCGAATAGAAAAATCGTCACTTTATGGAATTTTATGATGGCATGCTAAAACGCGCTCCACCAGGGTTACGGTAGAAAACCGAAATTTGCTATTTTCGTGGGGTTTTTGCCATGGAATCGCTTCGATCTTTTCGGAAAACCAACAGTAGCAGTTTATGAACCAATTGACCAAAAAATTTACAAAATTCTGCCGCAGGATTAAAAAATCCGTTTTTAGTCTTTTTCATGAACGTTTGTGGATAGTACGTCCTCGTATTTGGCAGTAAGGTGCCCCTACTTATTGCCTAACAACCCAGAAAATTCCAGCCGGATCGAAGCTAGGGGCCCCGAGAAAAGCGGGAAAAACGAAACCTACAGTACCCCGCTGGGGCACGTTTTGGCAAGCAATACAAAAATACCATAGATTGTGGTGGAATCTGGTGTAGGATCCGAGATTAATATTTGGATAAGCCATTGGCAAAAATGCAGCCATGGGAAGTGAGTTAGAAGCGAGTTATAACTCAAAGAACAAAAATAACGCAAAATCGCGAAAATTGTTTCGCTTTTAAAAAATGAAATTGACCTCGATAAATTCTAAGATTTTGCCATTACATTTTTACAAATTTATACTATTTTTAGGCCAAAAATCAGAATTTTCCCACCTCCCGTTCAAGAACGCACAATTTTCGGTCGTAACCAGCGTCAATAGTACAGTTTCGTACTCAAAAATCGAAAAAATCAAGTTGTGTTAAATCTTCATGCCCAGCATATTTAAGCATTCTGGCATGGTAACGTACCTTCGATTCTCTACCGTTCGCGAGTTATTTCGACCCAAACTGTGGTCTTTTTTTTGCACACCCTGTAGCTCTTTAAAATCGTTATAACTTTGAAGTTTGAATTTTCTTAACAGAAGTGCTGCAAAAATGGTCCACCAACACCGTATTAACAGCAAAATACCTTGCAATGGTGTTAAACCACCTTGGCGGGAGTTTTTTGGCCAACCCCGTATTTGACCCCTAAAAGTCGGGCCGGCCCGGGCCGCAAATTACCCAGGCCTGGAAAAGCCAAAGTGTTGTTTAGAACACCCTGTATATGAGGAAGGTAATATAAATATTCCCGTTAATCCTCAAAAAAGGTTACTTTTCTTCTTCTGGTATGTCGCCCCATCTGCCGATGACGGTCAATCGAACTGTATCTTCTGGCACGGGAATGGCATACATCGGCCATATGCCGAACATTCGATAAAATGGCTCCTATGATTTACGATGGGATTTAGATCACGAACAAAGACTATCAACCTCTTTTAAGAGCTTTGCTTCTTTGCCTGCTTTTGCCGCACTGGGCCGATCTTCTGGCGCACCGCGAATACATCTAAATGTTAATTTTCATACGGGAATCATATAAGCAACAAACTTTTCTATAAGATCAGCGACAGGACCTAGACAATTCGCTCTTTCTAACGGAGTCCCCGAACAGATACGCGATTGGAGCATCTGATGGCCGACAGTTTCATGAAAGACATCACTGAAAATCGGAGTTTTTTTCATGAAGCTCTAAACTGGAAAACTCTCTATTCGAAACTTCCTAACTCCAACCTCCGCTTTACCTACCAGACCCCAAAGGTATACTTTATTGTTACCGTCTTTCGATACATTCCCAGAGAACCAAACCGGCAGAATAGAGGTCACTTGCATACGTATACTAAAAGCCTCTTGAACAATGAAGTGGACCTACGATTTGCTGATTTTTATGGTCGGTAAACGCTTCTGGGGCTAGGTATCGAACTGTTCCAATAACCCCGTAACTGAATTCCTTTATATTAGGAAAAAGGGGTCCTGGGGATTCTTACCAGGAATTATTTGCAAGCTCCGCTTTTGACAGGCCAAAGTCGCAGAGTTTGATTTCATACGAATTACCCAGCAGCATGCTAAATTGGGCGATGTCAACGTATTTCTGGAGATTGACTCACTTCGAAGGTTTGATATCGCGATGGAAGATCTCTTTTCTCTCGAGATGGAGCAATGCCTCAAATATTTCACATGCCCAATCGACCACAACAGAAATCGAATAGCTCTTTTCCGGGTTTTTTATGACTAGAACAACGAAAATAGGATATGACTTCAACAAGGAGATATCTGTCCTTCAAAATCCATCAAAAACGGTTTCTAAAACTAAAACACGGAGGTTTCGAGGAGCTTGTTGACATTAATTCTTCTCTTGTTGACAAATCAAACCAAAAAATTCCCTTTTGATATTGCATCCTGTTTTCCTGAGAGGAGTGCACTACTTTTTAACAAAGTATAATAGTTGTAAAAAAAATTTCGCTACGGCACCTCATATTCTATATTTTTCAGTCAACCGCTTCTGTCCGTAGTCTGCAAACATCGTATTGTCTCGTACTCACATGTCTTTAGGTCTCCACGTTCGCAATATTCAGTGACAATATTTCCTGGTTGCCCTCCATCGCCTTCTTCATATTTGATATATTCCACAATATTAGGATGGCAAAGACTTTCAAGAATTTCGATTTCACGGCGGAGGTGGGTGGGATGAGGAGAATATTTCAGTCGTTTCACAGCCACAATCCTTAAAAAGGTTTAATAAAGCGAACTGGGCACCTAGGCGGGACCTTGACTGCAGTTACGTGCCTGGCTACGGTGTATGAAACGGCGCTAATTTAGTGAATGAACCGAACACCTTCAAGGGTTCCTTTTCCTGGACAATATTCTAACCACAAGTTACTTGTTATGAGGGTTCATACCTTCCATCCCTCGATTCACGAGATACAGTGCCGAAAGCACCACAACCAAGACAGCGACTGTCGTCAGGTTTAGCCAAATTGGATTGGATGGATGAGAGCGAGACAGGAGGCAAGCCGATATCACCAAACAGATGGTCAGATCCTTCAGTTGCTGTCATCTCAACGTCACTGTCTAAAAAATAAGTATAAAAATTATTTATTAATTGTTCAAGTATGAATTGAAAACGTTGCGAAGGATAGAAAGGTGAAATTGGCTTGCCAAACGAAGCCACGTCGCTGGCTTATCTTTTTCGGCGGCCCATTTTCTTATGGGGGAAAACTGGCCCCGCTCGATAAGAGGCGGTCGATATACTGAATTAAGAGCATCGGAAAAATCGAAATGATGGGCTAGAAAACAGCTCTCTTCTTGTTGCCTCGCTCGCAATAGATGAAAATTTACAGTTGCCGTCGATCTGCCCCAAAAAATTTGATTGAACCCTCGTATAACAATGTAGCTGGGAAAGCTGTAAAGAATGCCAAAAATATACCTCAATTTCTATAAAATATTCGTAAAAGCGTGCGGTGGAGGATGAAAAGTGAGCCCCCAACATTCCACTCCAAAATGCGCGCTTCCCTCCAGTTTTTCGCTCTTTTTCTGGCTATTTTTGCCATGTCGGTAGTCGACGCTTTACGGTAAAGCGAAAAAAATGCAGTTTATTGACGTTAATTCAGACACGATTTAATCTCCAATCAATTTGAGAGGACTAGAAGAGCCGTTCCCAAACATGCGGATGTTAGTTTTATAACGTTTTCTTCATGCGATGAGTGAGATATTACGAAAAATACGAAAAATACCTAAGCCCCATATTTTATTAATGCTACCTGTTTGATTATAGCAACTTTCGCCGCATTCTTCGAATTCATTCGGCAAAAGCTAGGAACAGCCTAGCAAACGCTGTTCGGGAAAATTTTCGGCCTGGTTCGGATAAGCTCCGAAGCGGGCTAGCACGGATCCTTTAGGAAATACTAGCCATTTATGGTCAATATTCTACTCACATTCACGTTTGTTCAGGATGGTCAAGACTGCAAACACGAATTCGAATGTGAGCAAGGATTCTGTTGTGGAAATAAGAGATCGGGAAGGGATGGGAAATGTCTATGGATTATACTGCAGAATGTACGTTTCTGTTGATTTTTATTAGTTCTCAAAAAAAAAGATTTTTTTAGGGCGGTCGCCATAACTGTCGTGATATCGTCAATGATAGCGTGTAAACGCAAAAATATAAAATATTAAAATATAACATTAAAAAATAAAATATAAATCTTTATTCAAATCAATAAAATGCTAGGAATCGATACTGTTAAACCCGCATTAAAATCACTAATAATAGTTTGATCTATATTAGCCTGTCGCCTCAACTTTAGCCACATTCTCCTGGATAACGGCTTTTCCGCACCGTTTCTCCAATTCGGCCATCAGTTTTTCAACCGTTTTTTCCTAAAAATGACAAATTCTTTAAAGTTCGAGGCTTCCGTAGGCTACAAAACCGCTTTTCTATAGCTTTCCGAGCTAACTGACATACAAACTATATGCTATAACAACAAAAACTCGAAAAAACTATAGTTTTTATAGACAGAAAACCTGCAATTTTTTTACAGTATTCTCTTGAAAAAAGCGTATTTTGTAGCTTAAAAGGGGGTAAAAAGTCATGTTTAAAATCGATAATTTGTTAACTGGCAAAGGAACTATGAGCTACAAACTACAATATCCCAAAAAAGAATTATTTTATTGCCTTACCTCAATCGAAACATATCTCCTATCATCCTTGCTGAACAAATAGTTATTCCCCGAGTAGATGTCGAACCACATTCCGTGCAGGAAGAGTTTTCCGCTCTAAAACGCATAATATCGATTTATAAACTTGACTAACCTCCAAATATTCCTTCAAAAATTCATGAGAAGCAATGTTGATGATTTGCTGGAGGACGTTGATCTGGAAATTTCGAAAAATTATGTTTTAAAAGGCATTAAAATGTAGTTTGTAGTTTCCTACCTGTGATAGCTTATCATGAACGTGGAGTTTATCAAACGGATCGATAATCGCTTCAAAAGTTTGGCTAGGAGAGACGTCCGACGAGAATTTCATCGCTCGAGGACCATTGTGGAGACGGTCGTTTAATCTAAAAAAGTAATACCTATTAAATATAACCAAAATCACAATTTTTCTACTTTCTAATCATTAATTCCAAGTAAAAAAGCCTCAACTAACCGCTGTATACTTTTATATCCATTCTTCCGCACCCAACTGTCCATCGGCGAGGCCGCACTGAATTCTTTCGGGCAAACGTGCAAATCGTAGAGCAGATTCATTGCCTAAATTTGTTTTTTACAAGGCTAGTAAAATACTTTAAATTACGATAAAAGGAAAAACTGACTTTACAATCGCTATGCCCACAAACGAGGACGTGCTTGATCCCTCCTCTCTTCACTGCCAGCTCCAATGCGGCTGGTTCTGTAGTGACGGAGACTTCCGAGTGATGGCCTAAGGTTTTTTGATGTTTTTCATATCTAAAACTCATTTTTTTTGGTTATCCATCACGTCCAAAACCCCTGAATTACATGTCGTAATCCATTGACAAACTAGAGTTCATCTGATCTACTTTTTAAAATTACCATAATTCTGTGCATCGGGCACAATATTCCCGGCATTCCTGACGACAAACATATCCCCAACCGCAGCCTGGGTAAATCGAGTCGGCAACATACGCGAATCCATACAAGTGAACATCACGGCTAGCGGCTAAAAGTATGGTTTCCAAGGGGTTTTGTCGCTAAAATGGCTTAATAACCGATTTTGCTTTAGGTTTTATCGGTTACTGAAGCCTGAAAATCATAAAAATACTTTCAAAATTGCTAAAATTCACTAAAAATTTTTTAGAAGCGTGAAATGATTATCAAAAAGGTGAAAAAATCGACGGATTCAGGCGTTTTCTAGGCCATAAGAATCGTTTTAAAATGAAACAAACATTAGGATTATCGCGAATCTTCTCAAATTGTTTGACCAAATCCTTTCGAACGGTCTGCCGATACTTGATAACACCACGCAAAATTCGGTCCATATCTAAAATTTAAATCCTAACAAAGAAAACGAGGAAACTATACGAAAACATCAAAATATGAGGCGATGTCAAGAAAAAACGGCTGATCGCTGGAAGGTGGATCGGCAGACTGACTTGGCGGGTGCACAAAGTGCGATCAATTGGAGGGAAAGGGGCAGAGCAGAGAACAGTCAAAATGGATGGACCGGAAGAGGGAAAAGGAAAGAGGATCAGGGCAAACACTAACATTCTAGCTGACAGAAAGGGGTTTCTACCGACAAAGATCTCATTACTTACTGGCCAGCTAAAAAAAAGCGCTAAGTGCCGTTTATTTTGCTGGATTGCACCAAAAATATTTGCGAATTTTTTGCCAAAAAACAAGGGAATTCTGAAACTTTCATAAACAGAAAAATTCCAGACTTTTTCCTGTGATTTTTCAGAGTACATCGATTGTTTTAGCCGCCCATTTATTCAGCCTTCACCAAAACGACATAAAAACAACAAAATTTGCCAAATTAATAGTTTCAAAAAGCAACAACATCATTGTTTGTCGTCGTTTCACCCATTCCAACAGTTTTTCGCGTCTAAAATTGGTTTGAAATGGATTAGGCGGGTTTTTTACAGTTTCAAATCCGTTTTCTCGGTCTTAGCGGTGTAAGGAGGCATTACAATAAGCGCTATACAACTTCCACCAACCGTAAAGATACAAACGGTGATGTAGATGCCTTAATCGATATTTTTAAGGTAAATGATGATACCTAGCAATGGAAAATGCTTGCTTTTTGGCACCAAATCGGCTAGAATCTCCATTAGAAGAGCGATTGACATTAGACTCGACATTCCCAGGGCTAGCTAAAGCAATTTTCCATAGTCTTTGGAGCGTTTTTCATGAACGTTCACCTTTTCTATGCGCTTATCCTTCTTTGTAGTAGTGAGAAACATTCCAAGAATAGAGATAGAAGATAGAACTAAGCAAGGGAAGACAATGACGTAGAGGTAGAAGTGCGGACGACGTCGTAGATGTAGGTAGAAGCCACCCTAGCACGCCATTCCAGGCTTTAACAGGCAGGCACGGATAGCTTTTGGGCTACGGCAGGCTCCCTTGCACAAGGGGACAGCGCGCTCGCTACGTTTTTGTTCGAAAATGAACAAACTTTTGGACAAAACTGGATTTTTCTCGAAATGTAATAGAAAAATTAGAAATTCAATTAGATTTAAATATTCTAGACGCCAAGGCGCAGATTTTGAGACCTAACTATCGAAAATCTATTCTGGTACTTTTTTGTGATGGTCTTTTGAAGTTCCGTTCAGGATTTTGTGCGGTTTTAAATAGCGCAGAAACCAAGCATTGTCGCTGAAATCTGAGCCTAGATTTGGTAAAATCAAGGTCGATTAGCCCCTAGTGCGTGAAATCGACGCTTAAAATGGCTCTAAGTGACTGTTTTGCGAAACTGTACGCCAGTGGAGCAACCGTCGGGTTAATTTTTCCAGATCCTTATTGTTTTAGCAGTTTTCAATGGCTGGAGCACAGTTTTTAAGCAAAACGCAAAAGCTTGGCAAAGGTTTTGGGGAGAAATAGCGGTTGCACGTTGGTCCCGGGGGGTCGAACCCGGACCCTCTGTTTGAGTTTTGGGATCGGCGCTAACCGATTGCGCCGCGGCCCCGGGGGGGTCCTATCCGTGCCTCCGTGGAATGCCGTGCTAGAGGTTTTCAGGTTATTTATTAGTTTAGTTTATTTTAGTTTATTTGGCTGTCAGAATATAGATTTCATAGACTGATAAATGTTATTGAAGTCTTGAACTTACGTATTCATAAGGTTCGACATATGTCGCATCATTGACCATTCCCACTTTATAGGTAACGTCATCCACGATCCACTCGCTTGTACTCTAGAGTTTGTAGTTTTAGAGCTCTTATTATAACCGTAGTTTCTAGGCTAAGGCCCGCTTACCGCAAATTCGACAAAATCGAAGCTTTTCAAGGCTAGCGTCATCATTTGATCCCAGGTATTGTAAGAATACACTGTTAATAGCAAGGCACACACTTCTCTATCAAAGGGAAAATGGCCAATCTGGAAAAGTATCGTTTTTGAATAAAAAGACTGTCCTACATTCTCCAAAACACAATTCGATTCCAGGTATAATTTACGGAGATTTGTGACTGTCCCATCAGAATAAACAGTCACTGCATTAGAGCCGCAGGGTGGAAGGATTTCGTTGATTGCCGAACTAAAGGAGTTTTCTAAGTTGTTAAAGACCCTTGGAAAGATGGCCGGGCGTCCCCAGGGGTGAGGGACCGACGGGGCGATACCATGCACGCTTTCCATCGCGTAAGGGGCCCCAAAACCCCCAACAAGATTTCAAGAAAACGGGTTTATAGCCATAACTTTATTGATTGACTATATTTTTGGCTGGAAACTTCCATAGCAATAGTTTTTAGCCATGCCCACCGATGGTAAAAATTTGAGACTGATTGGATACATAGCTGCCATGTTCTGAGCGGAAAGCGGTTTTTGGGGCGTTCTTTAGTTGAAAAATCGTCGGAAAGGGCATCAAATACTTCAGGAAATTCAGGGAGTACTTTCCTTGCCCTTAGCAAGCTTTTTCCGTAGGTTTTTTCGTTATCATTATTTGTGAATAGCTTTATTTTGATTTGTCGCCTAGTAATGTGCACCGATTCGGCCTTAGGGTACTTGGGGCCCCTCCGCCGCCCTCACCCACCCGACCCCTTTGGTGTGGGGGTAGCGCGTTGGACTGCGGAGCGGACCATCCCTGGTTCGACCCCCGGCCGGTGCACCTCTTCTTGCTTTTTGACCGATCCCATCTTTCCAGAGGCCTTTAAAAAGTGGCTTAATCCAAATTCTAAAGATTTCCTGGGCTTTGAGAAAAATTACTAAACAGTTTGCACTTTTAGAGCGTTTTATAGACCTCTAATGAGCGGGTTTAAAATTGATATAATTCTAATAAGGAGTGCTTTTTTTGAGTCATACGCAAATCATTTCCAAAGATAGTGCATTCGATAGAGAATTTCATTCTGAGTAACGCTATAAGGTTCATTTTTGCAGAATGGCTGTCCCCGATTTTATAAAATTAAAAAACTAAAACGCTGTTTTCCTACATGCCTCGGCGCGCATCCATGGCAGGCATGGCCAGCCACCGGGACAAGAGAGGCCTAGATGGCCTCTCAACCACGATGGACGATAGCGCAGTCGGTAGTGCGGTTGTCTTTGAAACTTTTTTGGACTTCTCTGGGAGTTTCGATTCTTCCACATGTAATTTCTTTTGCTTTTTGAATTTTTATAGCGTCGAATGGCTTTTCGGCTTCAATTACCATGGAATCCGCCATATGAGCAGGCACGACTATAGTGAAATCCCGGTGAACAGTGACAAGGCTCGGGCCTGGAGACTTCACTTTGACCAACTTTGAAGAAATTGTCAACTCGAAATCGCAACACTCTGATCCCTGTGTACGGAAACGCAATTGTCCATAAAAAAGCAAAAGAAATTACATGTGGAAGAATCGAACCTCCCAGAGAAGTCCAAAAAAGTTTCAAAGAGAACCGCACTACCGACTGCGCTATCGTCCATCGTGGTTGAGAGGCCATCTAGGCCTCTCTTGTCCCGGTGGCTGGCCATGCCTGCCATGGATGCGCGCCGAGGCATGTAGGAAAACAGCGTTTTAGTTTTTTAATTTTATAAAATCGGGGACAGCCATTCTGCAAAAATGAACCTTATAGCGTTACTCAGAATGAAATTCTCTATCGAATGCACTATCTTTGGAAATGATTTGCGTATGACTCAAAAAAAGCACTCCTTATAAGTTTAATCAATTGCGTGATCAAATGTGTATTTTCTAAGTTTAGTCGATTACGCCACGAAAATCTCCTCAATCTGACCTATCATAAAAATTATTCTCGGGCAGCCACACTTTCCCCGAATCGACAATTATCTGCTCGATGCCACCAAATTGAGATGAATTCCATGCTAATCGCTCGTCCACCCAACCCTAAATTTTAACCGATTTTCCTACATTTTTTTAAGCTGTTCAACTTACAAACAATACTTCGAGTAATGTCTTCGATCTCTCCAATTCCTCCACTATTTCCATCAATTTCACGTAATTTAGCGTGATGTTTACGTTGAATTCGGCGATTTTTGCGGGGTTATAGTCTAAAAAAATATCTTTTTATAAAGGTTCGAATTTTTTAGAGCTTTATTTATGCACTTTCAAGCCTCAAAATTCCCTAGAAATAAAGTAAAACTTCTAAAAAATTAATTTTGTGTTTTGTAAAAATTATTTTTTAACTTTATCTCACCTTGAGCTGGCCTTGAATATATCGGCGCAACCTCCTTTTTGTAATTCCCCTCTCGAAATAGCGAATTGTAGACTTTTTGAGCATTTTCGATAAATTCAGAGGTCTCGCCTGAATTTAAACGATTTTAAAGACCTAAAAATATCAAAATTACCTGCCATAATCGTTAAAATTGCATTAACAATTATTGTAGCAAAAATCAGCATCAAAATTTGGAAATGGCAGGCAACAATTCGGAAAGTTCCTCGAATGTTCTCAAGTATCCCCGCGTAGCCCTCGCTCCGTATTTGCCAACCCCCGTGTTTTTCTGCTGCCTGCATTCCAGTTAAGAGATCAATATATTTATTAGCATGAAATGTTGGCGTTTTAAAGGTATACGTTACCCTTAACTGTCTCCCAATCAACGCCAAAATGAGAAGAAAACGATCAAATTGATCAAATTTGCCGCCTGGAAGAGGAGATGCAATATCACGTGCATTTGTGTTAAGGCGGAGCATAATTTAGCCATTTTCGATCTGAAAAATGTTTTTTTTGGACTTAAAGACAAGTCTAATTCCATAGAAAACCGACCTGTCCCTTGGCATTTTCGGACTTCTCGGGGTTACGGTAGACCGAGGAAAAGCGACGAGTATCACGCAACCAACAGCAATTACAGCAACACTCACTATCACGAAGATTCCTAAAATATGGCATTTTACGGTACGGTAGC